TTTCTAGAAATGCCTCTGTGGTAACAAGTAATTTGCTCTTTTCGTTCCATACTGAACTTCCGTTGTAATAAGATCGCCTTGTCATAAAGACTTGTTGGAATCGTCGCGCGTCAAATTACTTTGCCATTGCCAAAAGGGCCCGCGCGCGTCACAGACCATGCGAAAAGGTGACCTTGTGCAGTATCAGCAACAACAACAACAGCCCACGAAATTGGCGGGAAATGCTGAGGTGTGACACTTGATGGCCTCCAGAAGACCCTCATCTGTGCCCGCATCGAGCTATGGCTCCTTTGAAGACAAAAGTTATCAGTGCATCTTCTCAGGTAAAACGGCAGATCTCCATACGGATCTTCCATTTCTTTGCTTTGTTTATTCCTATTTGTGAGAGGAATCGAGTCGAATTTCTGGCTCTTGCTTTGTTGTTTCTACACACATCAACTGCCTTACCTTCTTATGTCGGGTCTCATCTTATCATATAAGGGAATATAAGGGAGTATCTGAAGCTGCCTGCGGAGCTAAATTTGGATCTGCCAAATAAATTCCCTGTGGTCAGAGTAATGTTCATTATATATGCTAAGTATGACCAATTTTGACAAGACTGTGCCAACAGCCCTGTAACCTCAGGTGAAGCTGTGCAAAAATCACTAACTTTTGGTTAAGTAAACGCAGATCGAAAATAATAGGATTACATCACAAAAAGTATGTTGCCAAAATATTACCCTCCCCTCCCCCAACATTTTCTCATAGAATTTAGATGAAATACAAAATTGATCCTGGAAAGAACTGGGGGGACGCTACTGAAGTGGCCTTTTCAAACGAAATAGCTCATGCTAGTGGCCAAGGGCTCTTGCGTGGTTATGTCATTTGCATGAGCGATCAGTTAACCGATGTTAATAAAGAAACAACAATGCTAAAAGTGTCCATTACTTTTATAAGGAACTTTTGCATAAGGCAAATCAAATGAAAACAAACTTAAAAATGTTTTAACTGTCCAGACAATGTCCTTAGAGTTCAAATACTAAGTGCCTATAGTGTTCCTAAAAATTTGCAGTGGATTTGATATTCAATTACATTTTTGAATTGTGATGTGATTAATTCAGCTTACTTATATTTCTTGTGTTTTTATATATCTGCTTTGTATCATCTATGTCACTTGCTTGGGTCACAAAAGATGACTAGAAATATGTTAATTGAGAAGCATTTATTCCTTACAATTCGCCATTTTGCATGCATGATCTATCTACCCTTTCGCTTTTGTTCATTTGCATAATTTGCTGGTAATTTTTTGTATCTTCTGTTTAACTATTGTCTCCATTGGTTTCATGCTTTAATAATTATGAATTAAATTTTCTTTACAGGATTCTAAGCACTTGGTTGAAAACCTCTTGAATCCTACAAATTTGAGGAAATGGTGTTGCAGTAAAAGTGAGATAGACAAAGATCTCATTGTAGTGCTTGGGTTTGATGTTAGTTCAAAAATAGAGCACATTAATATAGGTTTGTGTTTTTATGCTGATAGGAAAATTATGTCAGCTCAGTTCAGGTCATCATTTTTTAAATAATTAACAGGCATTTATCTTTTGAAGGCAATTATTCAATCAACATGCTAACAGCCCAATGAATTAATGCAAGTGCTATTCAAGTATCATTCCTTTAAGCTTTATTTACACAAGGAAATTTTATAGCAAAGTTTAAAACCAGTGATGGAAATGGAACTCTTTGGGCTGTAGGACAAGCAAGGTAAATGTTTTGAGTCTGATGTTTGAGATTGTCTTTCTTATTGTATATCCTGGCTCAAAATATCAAAATCAACCAAGTCTTATTGAAATGAGGAAGTTAGAGCTACGAGGAAGTTAAGATGTTAAACAAATAGATGCTTGTGTGTGAAACTTTATCCATACTTTGCAAAGTGCATTATATAACTTACATATCACAGATACATTTATACATTACTGATTGTTGTAAGAAAAAATAAGAAACTCTTTCAGTTTAGATAAAGTATTGTTTGACCACATGCTAGTATCTTATGTAAAATCATCTCTTTTAAGGTAATGATGGGAGTGCCTTTGTGGAGATCACAGTTGGGAGGTCCTCTTGGCCATCAAACAGACCATTTGAAGTGCTGCTCCCCACTGTCTCGCTTATGACACCTGCAGAGTGCAAGAGTTGGATAAACACTTCAAAAGTTGTTTTGCTTGGAAAAGGTAAAAGAATGTTATATTATATTGAAATAGTTTAACAAGATTTGCAGAAGTCCGTAGCCATTCTAACAAACTTAGTGGTTTCCTGAAACTATGTGATCCATTGAGTCAACCAAATAAAAACAAAACTAGGGCTGCATGTAGCTTGTAGGCAATCTAGCAACGAATATGCAATTACTAAAAGGTTGTGGCTTAATAGCTTACCAGTGCCACATGTTTGAATAATTTGGTATAGAAAAAGAAAAGTGTCCATAAAATTGTAGTTAGTGACTCTAAGGCAGTTGAGACCTGTTATGTAGTAATGTCATTTAGTTGAAAAGCACTGGGGGAACCTTTTTTTCATCGGGATGCTACTTTCGATATAAGAGTCATAAATTTGAAAATTGACTATAATCTTTGTTATTACAGATGAAAAATGAAATTGTGACCCATACACAATCTGCAGCAATAAATTATCCTTAATTAAAGGGTCACCTTCAAAAAAGCAGCAAGGCATATGACTTAGTGAATAGCAAAAGGCTTATTATCCTGACAGTTAGGACAAATACAAATGAATTTCATAAGTTGAGTGTAGGGCAAAAATTTTTGCTAAATATTGTATGGGCATAACATGTTTTCTGTAAGAGAAGCCATACAATAAATTTCTCGTTCAAGCATAGATTTGTTAGTATACAACAATGATTTGCAGACAGTTTCTTGATCCAAATGGTCCTGATTCCCCAACACACCCTAATTTTTAGATGGGTCAATACTATTTACCACTCCAGAGGCCGCAGACACTAAGTGGTAAAATGACTCTAATTGTAGCCTATTAGTTAATCATAATGCTTACTTGGGTATACTGATTCTCTTTTGCTATCCTTTTATCATTTAATTGCAAATAACATTTGAATGTGTTCAAATATCAAAGATTATATCAGCCTAATTAATGAAAACTTTTATCTATAGCATCGTTTCGTGCAAGTATTGCTGAACAGAAATGGGACAGGGTTAAGGTGCGGTGTCACCAGCCATTTGCTACAGGCAAGCAGTTTGGACTGGTTTTTGTTGAGTTAAGAGGTTCAGATCGGGAGATGGAAACTGGACATTTGACAGCTACACATGGTAACACTAAATCAGATGATGGTTGTGACAATTTTAAAGAGATTGTTGAGAAGGCAATTTATTCCTCTAGGTAGCTACTTTTTGATTTTGAATATTTTATGATGTGTTTGAAAGAATAAGGAAGAGCTGGAAACTAACATTTACATCAGGCATGTTGCCTTAATAAGTTAGAAGGGGGAGGGGTGCTGTTGGCCACTCCGAGAAGCCATACGCATCTACAGAATTTACAGAGGGCTAATATTAGAGGGATGCAAACACAGAATTGGTCCAGACATGTTATTGCTTTGCCATGTATTGATCATTATCAGAACACTATATTCAGAAAAATGTGACTGTAGTAGCAGCTCATTCCAAATCAGAGCAGGTGCTCCTCAAAGTTCTGTCCTTGGACCATTGCTCTTTCTAGTTTGCGTAAAAATCTAAATGAAAACCAGGCTTAACCAGCTGTAAACATACTAACAATGCTTGTATGTTAGTGTTTTCCAATTATGCAAAGAATATTCTTTAAAAAAAGGGTATAATGTCAGTCTTCATGTGGTCACACCATTTAGCCCACAGCACTATATAGAACAGGGATTTTGTGGAATGAATTTTATAATATTATTCGTTTACCGATGCAGTCCAATTAAACTTGAATAAAATTTTCATTTGATTTCCCATTTTCATGTTTCTTATTAAGTTAGTTATTTATTTGACTCTAGGAAATCTTTCAAGCCAAGTTTAGGAATGTCTAGAACGGAGAAGTGCCTTGAGAAAGCTTTATCAAAATCAAACACTGGTATGTAAACGGATATTTAAATACAATTTGTGTCAGCTGTTGGTAAGAGTTAAAAACACTCTTTTATTTTTGGTGGTAGCCTTTACTTATAAGACGTCATCATTCTGGTTAAGAAGCTGAACTAACATATTTGGTGTATAGATGTTTCAGTTGTAAATTGGCAGATACCACACAAGGGAAAATGTCGGCTAATCTCACATGACTAAAACTTTTGGAGCATAGAATCCTTATTTATTTTCTAACCTATGTAGCAATTGTGTTTTTATGTATAAGATGTAATCCTGGTGCTGTGCCAACAGGGTAAAAGTGAAATAACTCTTTCGCTCTTAATTTTTTGATTTTACCCCATAACCCGCAAGATTTTACCCCATATAATTCTCTTGATACTCTGTATTTTTTAAAATATTTAGCTCAAAAGTTAACCTAATATTTTGGAAGCTTCTATGTTTACCTTTACGTCAACATGGTTCGAATTTCGAAACAAAACAACTTATAGTATTTTATTATAAATCTTTTCGTGCGTTTCTATAGATTGGTTAATTTTAATCATGCAGATAATTTTTTAGGGAGTAGAGAAATTCGAAAAGGTTGGTCGGATAGTGCGCTGTTGAAGTCAAAGACAAGTGTTTTAAAGAAGGTGAGAAAACTTCACTTCAGTGTCTTGATTAACTGCAGTTCTGGCATCGAACTACAGTGTCTAATGACGCGGTGCTGTCCTTACCTATTGTGATCAAGAAGTGTGCCGCTCCCACCCCCCATTCGCTGACAAAATGGAATCTTTTAATTGCCAACGAGTTTGAAAATTCCCTGATAAAGTACACCTAGAAGGCAATTATCTCTTCCAACCCCTCATCTTACCTACGGCACTGCAAAGATGCCTGGTATCATCGCTATTCCCCATCACTAGATTTCAGAGGATGGCCTGCCTTGCTCTCTTCTTTTGATAGACTACGAGCAATGATCACTCGTTGTGCTGTTTATGTTACAGAACTATTTTTTTATAGTTTCAGCAAGAAGTAGAATGCTTCCTGGAGAATGCTAAAATTGAAAACCAAGAATCTGCCCAGCTTCCAGGTAAGATAATTTAATCGCAATCGAATCTGTTGCAATATTCTAAATTAAAGACGCAACTAAATTTATTGTTTCTGAACTTTTACACAAGAAATCGACAGAAAGTTTACGAACGATATATGGACTGTGTTTGCGTAAAGGATACCCTATCACCCCATTTTTCTTTTTGGCTAGTAAAGTTGTAAGTTGTTTTATAAAATCGCATGTTTGTTGATAAAATCAGTGGCGGATTCAAGGGGGCAACTAGGGGCAGTTGCCCTTCCCTCAACTAGCTGAAGCAAGTCTGGCACCCCTTTTTTGGAAATTGTGCGCCCCTTTTGAAGAATGAGAATCAGGTGATATAGTTTCTGAGACCGATAGGTTAATTTTCATCAAGGATTACCTCAAAGTTATGTTGTTTATTCCGAAAATGGATCTGAAATTGTTGTATACAGCAAACTCTCGTCGCCAATTTTTGCAAATTTTTTAGCGCCCCCACTACCAACTGCCCCTCCTTCAAATTTGCTCTGGATCCGCCCCTGGATAAAATCATTCGTTGGCTAATTAATTTGGCGTCGGTTGGTAAAATCGTAATTGGTAAAATCGTGAGTAGGTTGGTAAAGTCGTGAGTAGGTTGATGAAATCGTGAGTCAGTTGGTAAAATCATGAGTTGGTCGGCTAAATCGTGATTTGGTCGGTTAAATCGTGATTTGGTTGGTAAAATCTCAAGTTGATTGGTAAAATCTCAAGTTTGTCGGTGAAATTGGGACAATGTTAACTTCCTCTATGGCACAGTACAGTATCTATTTATAAACTGCATTGCAGTGGTCGGCTTGTTGTCCAAATAGCCGGGAAACACGCTTCCCCGATGTTGGTGCCAATTTTAGATCCTAAGCTAGTTTTCGCTATTAAAAGAGATTGTGTCAAAAGAGAGTGCACACTGTGGAAAAGAAGTCATAAACCAATGGAAGTCGTTTGCGCCTTCCTAAAACTTTTTCCTGTCTTCTGCCCCACCCTGGGTGACCTAAGTAGGTCGGAAAACTATTCTGAGCATCAACGAAACGCTAGTTTCCGTTGCTGAAAAGAACTGACATTGAGCGGGTTTTTAGTTAAATATAGTATGTGTCTGTCCTTTATTCTCGCAGGATGTTTTTAGTTGCCATAGAACTAGGTGCCAGTGACCTTTTGTGTTTGTAGTCTTTTTATTTGCTACTACGTAGCTTCCGAAAGTAGTTTTTAGGACATTGAGAAGCTATGGTTATCGAGCAGTATCCTTGTCCCTCCTTTCGATGTGATCGCCCGTCATAACTGGAACGCCTGGAATTACAAAGATATCGCGATTCTTCTAAACTAAGTGAAGATTTCATCATTACAGGGACTCTACCCTTGAACACTTGGGTCTATTGTCTGCGACCCTAAACAACACTGATCCAACCTAGCCTTTTCATAGTTAGAAGCATTCAGGGTGTCAGGCTTTGCTAAAATTGGACAATATCACGAAACTAGCTTCCTTTAAGGCAAAGTTTCATCACAGACCAGCTGTTCAATCACGCATTATCAGTAATTTAATTCTTTTTTAGAACTTGTGAAAAATATGGAAAAAAGCCATGGAACCACCTTAAACAGAGCCGAGAGAAGAGTCATTTGTGAGGTATGTAGCTTGCTGCTATAGCAACGTGAATGCGTATTTTTATAAATTTTATCTTTGGACCGGGTATTTTTGAAGGAAGTAAAGCCCCATGGATCTTTTGATAAGGTACACAGAGCAAAAGAATACAAATTAAAATCCACAAGCACTTTTAAAAGTTTTTTATAAGTTCCTCACCTAAATATTTGATTTAATGTTTCGCACGTTCACTTTACTGAATTCCGTAGTTCGCATACTGTAAAATCTTTGTTTAGATTCCTTCTCTTTCCAACGCACTTTCTAGTTGATGACCCTTATCTGTACGGCTGCAGAAAAATTTCTTTCTGGAAACCTGTGAAATTGGAGAACAATTTTCTACCAGATAAAAATATTTCGCCAGAAAGCTCCGCGAATATTGGAAACATTATGCTGCTTAGATATTTGGATTTGGTTTGTAATAGCAACTTAAGCTATTGACAATTTACAATTTAAGTTATTGACAAATTCAAGGGAAATATCTTCCTTTCTATTATAAGTCGAAAATTATTTCTGCTAACGCTGAAAAAACGAGGGAACTCAGATCCAAAGTTTTAATACTTTTTTGCAGCCCTTTTTATTTATTTGACTCAACTATATAGAACAAACTCCCTATTTTAAGCCCCTCTATTTGACAACCCAGAAATTTAAGAGAGATTTCTTGAAACAAAAAAGATTTCCAATAACAACTTTCTGAATGAGGGATTAACACCTTGAATCCCTTCATTATCCAAGCAGTCAACAATAGCCCCATCTTCTTGACTTCTTCCTTCATTAAACGCCCTTCCCTTGATAGAGACGAATTTTATCAACGCCCTCTGCGTTAGATAAGAGGCTAAATGCATTCCTTCTACTAAATTTACAGTACTTCACTTTTAAGATGTTTTACTTTCAAACAGTTCTTGGGATTTTGCTCCTAACAAACTTTATCTTTGATCCCTCAGATTGTTGGGAAGAAATATAATAATCTTAGTTCTGAAAAGGTAGGAAAATTTATTATATTATTCATAAATGAAATGGTTTGTCTCTGGTTTATGATAAAGATTAATGAATCTTACCAAGGAAATAGTTTTTAGCTTTATTGCTGGAATTCAAGACTTTGCCTTTTGGCTAAACTTTCTTTTCTTCAAAAGATATTGATTCACTGCTGCTATATTAGCCTTGAATTTGTTTTATAGCTGCATATAGTTTTTCTAGCTTTATAGTTTTATAGTTTTATAGCTTTATAGCTGCATATAGTTCTTTTTACAGTTGTTTGTAATGATATTATATATCTTCATTGTTATAATGCCTGCAAACTTTTTTGTACACATAACTAAGTTAATCAATACTTTCTGATATCCCAATTTCCCCCTTGAAAAGCACACAATTTAAGCAACAGTTCAGATCGTTTTCTTAATGAAGTGTCATAACCTAATCTACGTTATGTGCATATCGCATGATTTTTTTACCAACTGCTTCTAGAATCTGGAAACAAAAAAGGATAAAATCAATTTTAATGGAAAAAGAAGCAAGGAACAGAAGGTACTGTCTTAAAAAGTAAAATTTTTATGTTTACTGTTGTGAATTAATGTGAAGAAGTGTATCTGATTTGTTTTTCAACAACTGGGGGTTTCAACAATTTTTTGAAAGAAAATGGTCTCCTGTTCTAAACAAAGGGAAAATGTGGCGTCATTTTATAAGAACAAACGAAAAGGACTAGGACTAGAACTAGGACTGCAAATGAAAAAATTTCTCAAAATATGGCACCCTTCCCAAAAAGGCCTTTTCGACTTTTTGGTCTCAAAGAGCTGCAATCATTGGAATGTTAATTCTGTTTTAGGTTTCAGCTTTGTATGAATTTTTTAACAGTATTTTACTGCTTTCGGATGAAAACTGCGAAGTTCTTTGAAGTTCTTGTAATGAGCTTTTTCTACCACAAACAGTTTCAAATTGCTTTTAAAACCACATCGCTTCATGCAAAAAATTTCTCCCTCATGCTGTACGAACTATAAAACCTGCCTTGCTAGATAAAATATGTGGTTTTTTTTGCCTTTCTTCTGCTGTCCATTTACCTTTTCTTTCTTTACCTATCAATTTAACTTTTATTTTCTCCCCTTCTCCATTATTTCGTTTTCCTTGGCTTTTTGATACAAAATGCTTTTCAGATATTTTATCCCATTTCTCATCGCTTAAATTTTCCTGTACCTATTCTGAGATTTCCTTGTAAAAAACTGCTGTTTTTAATTCATTCAGGACAATTCCTGGACATTTCGCAACGGAATAAAAAGGTATGGAATTTTTCAAAATATTTGTTGTCATCATTGTTGGAAAACATATCTTTCATCATTTTCATGTGGTGTGTTTGATGCAAATTTATACTATTGTTCAAAGAACAAAATCTTCACTAAACCAAAGTTATCAAAGATTTATCGGTTGTAATCAAGTATTTGTTGCACTTTCTTGGGCGGTATACTAAACACCGCCCCCCCACCCCCACCACCCCTTCCTTTTTCTGTCAACTTTGTTTGGCCCTGTGTTTAGGTTCTGTCTTGGCAAGCATTACCTTCAAAAGGTACCGCCTGTAGTCTCATAGAAACTGACATCGTCCCAAAGGGACTAATCCGTCCCAGTAGGAGTAAGACCTGCTTGCATATTCAGTTTCAGTTCTGAGCCTTCAAGGCCTGGAAGTGGATCATCAAGGAACGAAAAAAGAGCTGTCACGTGGCCAGTTACACCCTTGAGCAGTATGAAGAATGATGGAAGCAACAATCATACCAACAGATGCATGCAAAGAAGAAGCACAAATGTTTCACGGAGCATTCTTCTTTACGGCGATGACATAGAGGGACCACCCAATAAGCAGACAAAGGTAGAGCCAGTTACAAAAGAGACCAGTGAAGCAAGTACCATTGATGAAAGTACCAACACGTCACAAACAAATCCAGCTTGTCCACTTTGTGGCAAATCAATGTCTCCTGTTGCTCTTGAAATACATACCCAGTTTTGCAGCGGCAAAACCGAACTGGATGACGATTCTCAAGAGGACTCTGGTCCGGTTGCTGACAACAATGCAGGAAATGTAGGGAAAAAAGACGCGTCCATTTCAAGTCATCTGGCGTTTGCCAGTGCCTGTGTTACTTCAACAGTCCAGTCTATTCCATCACAACCGCTTAACTTCAGTGGTGGTAGAGAGCCTCAAGACACACGTCCTGCTTCAAGGAAGCCCAAGGCAAGGAAACATTCCCACAGTGGCCCTGTTGCCACAACAGCAGCTAGATTTACAAACATGACTTCTGTTGTTAACACTGCCGTAAATCTGAAAGGAAAGCCTAAAGGTAGGCAGAAAGCAGACCTCCCCAAAACCTGCCAAAAGTTCCCTGTTTCCCTATCCACGGTTAGATCTGCTATGTTGACTGCTGCCGTAGCCAATGCTGTTGTTGCAGCAAACTTAAAAGGAACGTCTAAAGCTAGGAAACAAGCCTCTTCACATAATGGACGTCGTTATCCTGTTTCTTCAAATGCACCCATCGCTGTAGCTGCCTCTGCAGCCACTACTGCAACAACAGGAAACGGAAAAGGAAGACCTAGAGGTAGAAAGCAAGTTGCCTCTTCCCACACTGGTCCCCGTTATCCAGTTGCCGCAACTGCAACTGGAGCTATCGCAATGGCTGCTTCCTTACCTACTGCTGTAAAAGCAGCAAGCTTGACAGGAAGACCTAAAGGAAAGACGCAAGTTGCCTTATCACAAAACCACCACAGTTCTTTGACTGTAACTGCGGCTAGATCAACTTCTGTTACCGTTGCTGTAACTCCAGCTATTACCACAGCAACTGTAAAGCGCAATCCTAATGACTGGAAGCAACCATCCACCAATCGACAATGTGGTTTCGTTCATCACGCCATCAGGGTAAGACCACCCACGGTAACAACTGCTGCCGTAGTCCCTACTTTACCGACTGCCGTAACCCCTGCCACTACTGCTCCTTTAACCATTGATTTGACACGTGGCGTGCCTGCTGCAACTATGCATTCTACAGCTGCAGAAACAGCGATGCTGGACTCGAACACACCATTGGCTTATCAACAAGCAATTCAAAACATAGCTGTTGCATGGCCTTATGTGCTTGGTTTGCCCAGTGTCGAAAACGCCCAGTGTCCAGTTTGTTTACACGAGTATCCGACAAATATCATACAAACACATGCAAATCAGTGTCTAGATTTAGGACTATAACTAACAAATAGAATATTTTTGTTATGTTGGAGATTAACGAAATCATATCAAATTTTTAGAAACAAGAACAATCTCATGTTCAGTTTATTTTTGTACAAAGAATTTTAATACGCTTTCGCAGCTTTTAATATTATTTTCCTATGTATGAATAGCAATTTTATTTTTACATAAAAAATGGGTCACATTTATGTTAAAATTAGCTTAGCCATCAATTATCATGATTTTATTGGCCGTTAATGAGTCACATTTCTATTATAACTAATCAAATTTCATTTCTACCAAAAGGAGAAATCGAAAACAATCATTTATGGGCATTTGAAAGGTTTCCTTATCGTGTTTACTACTATCAATGTGACAATAAATTGAGTTAATCCGAGGACAACTCGAAAATAAGTTGGTGAAAGTTTCTTTTCAATAAATACTTGAGATTTTATTGGCTTTTATTGACTGGCAGTCTAACCAATCAGGTTGTTCCCTATCAAACGAAAAGATCAAAAGCAACTATTTAGGAGCATTTAAAAGATTGAACCCAATTCTTCTCTATAATCAGCTACGTCATTATGGATTCCCATGAGATGTGGGGGCATGCGCTACAAGTCATTGGGGACTTTGCTGCAAGTCACCACACAAGCTCCCGAATTCGCGATAGATTGGTAAGAGCATTTCAAAGATTGAACCCAATTATACATCACAGGTGTATCTCAGGACTCAATTTTTACTCCCCTTCTACTTACCCATACCAATTGCTAATAATATGTAGCTCCATTCATACAAAAAATGAGATGCAAGCCAGTACTTGATAACCGTTGGGGATGAAACTCACCAGAAAACTGGCAAGTGCCATCTTGAAGAGAAACACCAAAAATAGGAGAATACTAATGAGAAATTGGTTTATTTTAAATAATTGAATAAAAATTGTCATTCTGCTTTATAACTCCAATCCTTCTTGGAAATACAGAAATAAGAATAATTCAATTCTATGTTTCTGAAGAACCTTAAATTCTTTTTATAAGTATCAATTTACCACCAGAAATTCAGAAAACACACTGTTACAAAGATTGCTGTTCATTTGTCTTTGTTCATCTCTATTCCATGCAATGGCAAAGGTAGATCAAACAAATAAGTATCTAATCTGGGTCAATTTTTTTTATCTGCATGTAAGGCCTCCATTTTTGTCTGCCAGTAAGTTCAATGTAGTTTAATAATGTTTTAATGTAAATCCACTTAGATCCATTTTAGATAAATTCTGGACCTGTAAAAACAGAGCTTTATTTTCCTTGTATAAGGTGATATTTATGGACAGTAGTCATCAATAAGAATTTGATAACTGTTTGAAAACTGTTGATAACAAACAACAAGCATTTTGTCCATTGCAGAAACAAATAAAAAACTGCATTGGTTCAACTTCTGTGTTCTACCTTTAAACGAGTAACAAATCCAATTTGACACATACACACACCTAATTCTTTCCCTCTTTTTATGTCTGCACCATGGAGAGCTCCTGCTGACCTGGCCTAAAAGACACAGACCTGGCCAGTCAGACAATGTTGCCAATGCTCTGTCACGCCTTTATCCTTGCCTGAGGTTTAAACATTAGGAGATAACACAATAGCGTGCCTTGCGATTCAAGTCAGCCAAAATCAGAGTCGCTATCTTCCTCAATAATTGGTGCTAGAAGTTTCACCTTACACTGAGCATCTCGTCTCTGTGTCTTCTTGCTTCGTTTTAAACTGCTTATGAATTCTTGACCACTCTTTAACAGGCTGAACTGAGACTCGTAGTACTCTGATTCTGATTCGAGATCACCCAATTTTTCGTATCTAAACCTTTTTCTAGTACCAAAATTTGGTGTCCATAGTTTAGTGTAGAGAAGGAAAATCAAGAGAAGAATAAACAGGAAAACGAGGCTGCCAAATGCTGTGAAGGCCTTCTTTCTGTCTACAGCTACTGGTTCAAGCACCCTTTGGTGGGTCTGTGTTTTATGCTTTGCTTTGGCAAGACGCTTCATTATGATCTCTTCCCCAATGTGATGCTTTGGTCGGGCAGTAGTCAGAACTGGGGACTTGGTAGTTTGTAAAGATGCCTTAAAATGAAAATTTAGATTGTATTTCAGCCACATAAAAGCCACTTTAAAAGAAACTTTAACAACTGCAAAATGTCAGTGCAGGGAAATCAATCAGCTGTAATTTGGTGCAGCTTTTTCATAAATCCCCAATAACCATTTCAATATGATGCATCTACCAAGACACTTAAATGACCATCCAACAGGCCTTTGAACATTAAAATCTAAAGCTTAGTGGTTGAACAAAAGGACCAGTAAGTTTTCAAGCAACCATTTTCTTTAGTGCAAATATTTGAATTATACCACTGGTTGTTTATTGAGTTTGGATGTCTTTTGATAGGTCCTTATTCCAGACTGAAAACTCTATTACACGATTATGATTAATTGTCCTTGTACACATCTGCACGCTTTGGCATATTGGCCTCACAAAATCCTTAGGTGATAACCATCATTAGTTTTTCGTATTAAAGATGAAAATTCATCTAATTTGGACCAAACATTTTTAAAGAGTTTTGTTAGTAAACAAGTTTTAAACAGCAAATAAACAAATGTGTGATACCTTTTCATGCTCATCAGGACAAAGAAATGTATCTTTGACGTCAGTGATCACTTTTGCAGCTCTCACAAGCTGATGTTCGTAAGTGCCATTTTTGTGAATATGTGAAGCAGGGCCTTTGTATGCATGTGATTTAATCCAGCGTTTGCAAGTAGGAAAATCAACTTTGTTCATTAAGAGAAAACATCCCCATGACACCAGGGCAATAGGCTGAAAAACAAAAGCAATGTAAAAAACACCAATAATAGAGAGGGAAGAGGGCAAAACCATGCCACAACAAGTTTTACAGTTTTGTTTTGAATGCTATGGAAAGATGGCTACTCTCAAAGGATTTCTTAAATAATGGATTTTTTTACAAAATGACATAGAAAGCAAAAATAAAGCATATACTATTTAAAGAAAGTTTTGGCAGATGCTCCTTAGAGTAAAAAACATTTGACAACCACTAACAAAGGTGAAATCTGTATTCCAATGCCAACTGAAAGCAATGAGAGTGGCACATTTGGCCAGTTTTCTTGACAAATGTGTAGCCTGGTTTCATAGAATGGGGATGAAAAGTATCAAAGCAAAAAAGATTTGCCAACTATGGTTTTGTTTCCACTTTTTAGTGCTATCCTGAAACCACTGAATACCAGAGGGTTATATTGAAAATATCCAGCTAACAGCTGTACTTGACAGGAAAGTGAATTGAGAAAACACGGGATAATATTTCCTTAATCAATGTCAGAAGATTTTACTTTCCTCTCAACCACCCTGTTCTTCAGGTTTGGAAGACCAATGGAAGTTTTGGTTTTTTGTCTGGCTTGCAGAGTTAGCCCTGTTTTGTTTGTTTTGATGTGTTTTAGAAGAAGGAGTATGTTTCAAGTATAAATGGCACATCTATGTACGATATATTGTCATACCTTTGATGAAGTTAGTTTTTCATATGGGGTGAGCACATAGCGATGCAGACAACTCTCAGCTAGTTGCCTAAGTTTTGTGACTAATGAGGTGTTGGCACATGGATGATACAGAAAAACAACTCCGCCATGCTAAAATAGAATGAACAAAATTGGTGAGCTTATGTTGTGCAAATATCATAAATATTTTTTATAACATCTGCAGAAACAATTTAAGTCAAAAGAATAACCAAATGCCATCTTAAATGCCTTGGTTTGTATATACAAAGCTGATTGTAAGCCCTCAAATCTAATTTAAGCTTTTTTACTTCCCCTACTAGGTTTTTTTCTTCTCAACTGAATAATAGCAAGAACTTCTCTTTTTTAGAGGCAATAAACTTGCAATACCATGCCATACCACCTTCAATGTCGTATTGGAAAAACAATAAATTAAAACACTCTCATAAGAACACACACAAATATACAGTTTTATTCTGGCCCATTTTAAGAATAGAGGGTTTTAAAGGATGATAAATTAATGAAAATGAAAATGATCTTGAGGTTAACAATCTTGGTGCAATCTAATCAGAAATCAAATTGATAAAAATTCAAAGTGCTATTACCTGCAGAATTTTTACCCAATGTTCATGCGAAAGGTGACTGTATTCACCATAGGCTGGCCATCTCAGTTCTCTTTTCCCACTGCAGAAAACACAATATATGTTGAGGTTGGCAGTATTGCCATTTTGGATTATGTTTAGCTAGTTTTTAAGTTTTTAGAGTCATAAACATAGAAGGTTTTTTCAAAGTGGGGGCAGGGAACAAATGAAGGAAAAAGGACTACATCCATCAGTTGCACATGCCTCTATTTTTCTGAAAATTGTAGGAGCATGTGCTCCCAATGACCATCTGATTTCTAATTCTATGTTTAGAATCCCTCCCTCACGAGATTTGTCACAATGAAGGTATGGTTGATGTGAGGATCATTCTTAGAGAAATGACTTGGCAAAAAGGCACGAAAAAGACCACAATTTACATCCCTCAGAAGAAAACCTGTCAGTATTCTTTAAATCTCAGATAGGTTCTTGGTCAGTATAGGGAAACCATTTTATAACCACTTTTGTTGCATAAAAATCACATATTTAGTTGGTACACACATATGTTAAAAATAATTATTGCTTTGGTCAGGGTACCAATTAAACCCAACTGGAAATACGTGTATCAAGGAGCACAATGTCTTGAATTGTGATTTTTTAGCCATCTGTAATTGAGAATGTCAATATAGAGGAATTTCTCTAGTACTTTAACTGAAATTTATGCTCACCTTAAATGATATGTTTCACAAAAGATAGGATCTTGATAACATTTCAGACTCTGTAAAAACATATGAACATGATAAAATTGAAAAAAACAGAGAACATGGCGCTTCTTAATAAACAAATACATATCAAATTTAAGTCAAGGCTTATTTTAATTCAGACAACATCACAACTTTAAATCTAAGTTTAAATCAAGGAACAATTTGCCAGAAAGGACTAAGTATATGTACCATGACTTTATGACAGTTCAAAACACAGTACTATTTGTAGTAAATGTATTATTTTTCATTATCCTCTCAAAAATATCAAAACTAAATGCAAAATTTAATGCCCCTTTTAAACTCCTCAAAAAAGTCTCACATTTTTCATATTTACTTAATTTTGAATGAGTTTTGTGTATTTTTCCATTTAGTTTAGAAAATGTTAACAACTAAGCACTTGAAGATTGCCCAGCTTTTTTGAAGTTTTGTTGTATAGGGGGCCAATTAAAGCTCTAAACCCTCTGCTTTGTTTTCTTGTGCCCTTCACAGCTACAGTGGTCATAAAAAAGCTGGCTGGAAGCAAATAGCTTGTTTTACTTATAGACTAATTTCTGAACGGTTTGTCTCTCATAAGCAGAAACTTAATTGTTATAAAAATTGCTAAACTTTTCCATCAAAGCGAAGTTCTTTTTCCTGTTTTTCCTTTGCTGTTCACCAAGTCGGCCTTCAGAATATAAATCAAAAACAGTTTTTCAAATATGACTCACATCATTTGGGCTGTAGCAAAAACTGTCTCCTTGGTTTGTAGTATTTGCATCCTAAAAACAAAAATTCATTTGACAATGATAATCAAATTATTCTATTCACTAAAATTTCTCCTAGACCTTTATCGTTGTGCAAATTCTACAAACTGACCAGAATTTTGATGGATAAAAAGCAAGATGAACATGTCATTTACATCAAGAAGCTTTCTGATGTTTATTGAAATCAAAACAACAACAGGCTATGTTTATAAATCTTGTTAGCAGTTAGCAGAAGAAAGGCAAACTGGTAAAGAAAATTATCCTGTTTCTCACAAAAAGCAAACTAAAATAGGAGTTGTATTAGTAAATATTTTATCTTGTTGTCCGGGCATATGAGGCCTCTTTTCTTTACTTTTTATGCATGAACAAGATATTAGTTCATTTAGTTTTGATATTAGTTTTATGTCTTCTGATGACAAGGTCATTTTTCCTGACATTGGCACGTTTGTTGTCCATTTGCATTGTTCACCATTTTAGGTGTTTCCGCTGTAGGACCAATGCATTCAAAAAACATCCTTATCAATTCATGATTTTCTTTTAACAAATTTTGTATCAACGTTATCTAGAAGAAAAAAAATAATTACACAAAGATTCAGACGAACAAGCTTTATGTGTGCAAGACAAACCTTTGAGACAAATTTCGAGCAGTCTGGCTCTTCAACCGTAATCTTTGGTTGCTGCGTTGAATTTACCTAGAAAATAAATGATTCAAGATGCACTTCTGAAATATAATCATTCTGCACAAATATCAGCAATACATTATTGGTTGCATATTCATTTCAGACAAGTGTCTTCTTAAGTAAGCATTGATGACAAAACTTTTCATTTAATTCAAATTTGAAATTAATTCAGGTTTTTATTCTTTAAATTAACCAAGTTAGGTTTACTCTAGTATCTTTGTAAAAACATCAACAAATAGTATTATGCAAAGTTAACTGTTTAATGTTTCTGTAATATCTAAGCACATCAAAAAATTTCCATCACTTTTAGAAAAATTTGAGAAAAAACTGTTTATAAGATCAAATTATTCCAAACTTGGAAATACTTCATTTTGTCAACAATTTTAAAGGCTTATTTAAGGAATCTTTATTCCTTTTTTTCATCAAAAAAGATTTTCATAAATCTTGGCAGTAACAAAGAACCAACACTCTGTCTGAATAGACATTGCATTCAAATAGCAAACATACTGTATTTTGGCTGTTTGTTGACGATTCGTTGCTATTATGTTTCTTTGAATCAACTGTACTGGTCCAAATTGCTTCAATTTTTTTTATTTTCTCTTTTCCTGTTTGTTTTGTCCAATTTTTTCCAGGCAAACGTTCACTTGTATTGGTGGCTCCAAAAATGTTATTCCGTGGTGTTATCGATGCCCTGTGTAAAGTTTTGTTTACAATTTTGAGCTGGGAAGGTCGAGCAGTAAATTTGATTCCTCTTCCAACGAAGGATCCATTTAGTGTAGGTGAATAAACTTTGTTTTTATCAGGGTCTGCCTTTAAATTTTCAACCGAATCAACGCCAGTTTTGAATCCCCAATTTGTTGACACGCACATAAATAGAACTGAAAGCAAAGTGATGGCATACGCCAATTTTAAAAGTTTATAACAGTATAATGACATGCTTCAAGTGTCTTTTCCCGTCTGTCTATGTTCTATGTTGTAGTGCTTGAACTGTTCATCTGCAATAACAGCCTAGGCCAATTGTACATCGAACAGCCCTCCCTGCTCCATTCTTTGAATGATTCCTTTTCTTACAAAATAGAGATCAGTTGTAACGAATTATACCAAGAAAGAAGCTCAGTACGATATCGAAATGGGTTTGTGAACGATTATTCCATTAATTTCTACGCTACCTATGCTATTTCGGCATGATTTCGTCCCTAACTTCATCTCCGTTCGTCGTTGTCATAAAATCTCCTCCGCGATAACACCACACGCTACGCAGTAACCGTGAAACTTCAATACGTCATTCCAACCCCGCTATCTTTTATAACGCCCCACTATATTACAGGCCCGTCGGAACCGGGGGGGCTGGAAGGGCTGGAGCCCCCCCCCCCAATAATTGTCAAACTGTAGTATGTTTACTTTATAACAGTGTACTGAACGAGAAGGAAAACAATGGGCAGCCCCCCAATATGAATTTCATACACGAACGCCTTGAAGGCCAAAAAGTTTAAAGAACTTATACTATTAAAGGCGGAATCCATAAGGAACTTTTCAATTTTTATCACTTCAGAAAATCAAGAACTAAGACGACGGTTTCCATCACTTGGAAACCTCACATCATTTGTTTGGGTTTATCACATAAATTTTGAGTCCTATGCGAAGACTATATTCAGTGGCTTCGCGTCAGGGGCGGATCCAGCAAAAAACCTGACTGAGTTCCAGGCCAAGGCAAGGTTCTTTCAGATAATGCATTGATAATTGTGCCTAAAACAACATTACTACTCATATTTATGCATTTTGGTACCATAAGGGGGGAAAGGAGGGGTAGGTACACACCACTCACTAAATCTGGATTCTAACGGGGGGAGGGAGGGGTAGGTACTCATCACTCACTAAATCTAGATTCTAGATTTCTTTCTGACAGAAGACAGTGCCTCTGTGAAAATTTTTGCAACCCTCTCCTTTTCTCAATACCCTTTTGTTTGTCTTGGATGCCACAGAGAAGTTTTTCCCTTTTGTTTTGCTTGCAATTTGTTGTTTTGCCTCCGTAGACACCAGCATATTCATCAAAATATGGTGTTCCATCTGAGCATAGTCTCCCGTGCCATTTAAGACTGCAATTTAAAACCAAGCTAGTTAATGCTCCTGAAAATTAACGATATTTCCTTGTTTTATCTCAAACGCTTAAGAATCTGCTAGAATGCTGCTAGGGTCGTGAGAATAAGGGCCTATAAGACATCTGGTAGCCAAATAACCACTCGCTATTGTACAAATCTCTTGCAAATATGGTATCATTTCCGAGTTTCAGATGCTGTTTTGACCAAGTTCCATCCGTGTTTCAAACAAAACTCCCATTGTTTAAATTCATTCTCTTCCGAGGAGACTGTGATGAACCTCGGAATTTTTAGGTTTCACTTTTTTAGTCTAAATATTACTTATTTCAGGCAACACTAATTTTAACTATATGTCGGAAAACTGACTGAGTTCTGTGCACCAAGGAACTCACTCTGAATCCGCCTCTGCCGCGTGGCCATACTCGCTGGGGGGGGGGGTGTAAGAGATGCAAAAACATATTTTACCGACAGAAATTCTTTTGTTACATTAATATTTTATTTTAAGTTTAATTCTATCTACGAGTTTTCTGAAAGTTGGGGGGGTTTACACCCTCACACACCCCCTCCCCCGGACTACATTACATCAGACAATATTAATGAAAGAGAAATGCTAACTCTTGATTGATATTGTACTTGTACATAAACCAAACTTCTTTTTTGCCTTCCTTTTGTTTTTGGCCTTGTTTTCTAGCCACTTTTAAAATCAATTTCAGAATTTCGATGTTTTAGAATTTCAGAACTTTAAGCACAGTTTGATCAATAGAGGTTCCTTATCCTTGAGATGGGTTTTAAATAAAACAAGCATGTAATAAATCCCTCTTTGAAGAAAGGCTGCAAAACAAACGATAAAATTTGAAGAAAATTCCACTCTTGAAGAAAAGAGTTTTATGTTGACTCTAGATAAGTTCCAGAATACAATAACGCAGACAAAATGTGTAAATTTTCAGATAACATATCGTTAAAGCTTTCAATACTGTTATGGCCTTGAGGCATCTTTCGTTGTAATTCTGTATCACCAGCTGCAAAAACATGTTTGAATGCTTCCACCATTTTTTATTGATATATGTTAGTATTCTTCAAGCGCTAGTTCAAGATACGAATTTAATTGCAGAGTTGTGCTCAAAAAGAAACATCTTCCAAGTTCAACAAGTTTAACGTCACAATTTTCAATTCTGAGACTTACATTCTCTTAACTCTAGTCTCAAACTCTCTACTCTAAGTTAAATCACACGTGCATATATACGTTTTACAATAAGTATAAAAATAGCGTAACCAATAGGAATTAAGAAAAACAATTCGTCAAATCAATCAGATTTTACAAACAAAAAAAGTTTAATCTCTGTAACAATAGATTGACGCCAATACTTAATACATGTGAAGCTTGAATCTTGAGTCAGTTTCTTAACGACTCTTGAAACGAGGTTATTACGTCCATTTTGCTCAAAGTCATGTGTAAAGAAAATACCTTGAGTCAAAAAGCTAAAGCCGATAAGCTCAGACTAAATGAATGAACTATTGTTAACTACATCCATACAAAAATAATAATTGCTATGCGTAGAGTTCAAAGATACTGTGGGCAAAGGGCGCGTGGGGTTTTCCCCGACAATATATTCAGCAATAACAATAATTTTGAAGCATTTTTCTATATATTTTTTGTATTCAAGTTTCTCAAGGTAATATTTGAAAAATTTTTGGGAGTGCAAAATTTGGAAGTGGCTTTTAAAAAAGCAAAAATTCTACAACATACTGAAAGCTTATTCGTCTGACACTCCTCAGAGTATAAAACGTCAGAATAAGGTTCTGAAATAACCAGATTCAAAGAAAAAGAAAAAGCTCGGTCGTCTTTCCATCTAGCAGTTGTGGAATCCATCTACATACAAACGAAAAAGCCACTACTGTAAATTCTCAAACTGGCCCCCCTCTCGAGAAAGCCCCCCCCCAAATAAGCCCTCACCCTAGAAATACAAATTGTCAATAACCCCTTTCGAATAAGTCCCAACTGCTAACGTCAAAAATTGGACCCCTCAATTTGATTATCTTTGCCATCTGAGGTTGCCTGAGACGCTTTATCGAATTACCACAACAAATCCATACTTTTAGTAGTAATTAATTAAATGTTCACAAAGAAATTTCTACTAAAAAAACTAGGTCTTTTAATAATGTTTTCTTTAAGGTCCACAATAATTTTATAACCCCTTCCCTCGAATAAGACCCCCCCCCCTCGAATAAGCCCCCATCCAATAATAGTTTTAGTGTAACGAGAATTGTGCATTGTTGTGTTATTATTTGATGCCGTTCGTTCACTAATAAAACCATCCATCGATTAACGTGTCATTTGCAAACCCAGCGAGTCTTATTTTACGTGCAGAGAACACGGATATACTAGATTGCGTGCGGTACGTGAATAGCACGGCAAAAATAAAGTAAACAATACGGATTAGCGATGCCTGTGCTGTGATGTGAGAAGGTGATGGAATGAGTGAGAAGGAAATAATCATGAGAATATCGTATTCTCACTGAGTGAGATAAAATTTTCCAGTGAAACTATTTCAAACCGGAAATCGTTCTAGTTAGAAGACAGTAGTGGCGTACCCAGGGCTGTAGCAGTGGGGGGGGGGGGGGGGGGGGGTCTAGGTCGGAGCCCCAGAAATATTTTGACCACGCCCTTCAGACACTCGCAAATGCGGGGAAACTCACCTTTTGCAAAAAGTCACCCCATTATTTGATTAATGTTAGCTACGGTAAATAGCAAAGTATTTTACAATTGTTATTGACACAAGCATACAGTATACTACACCAACGAGTTTTACATCATTTTGGACAAATCTCGAGGATCATATTTTAGAAAAGTGGGGGGTCCAGACCCCCCTATTCCCCCCTTGGGTACGCCACTGTAACACAGAGTTCACATGGGGTATCTCACTCAGTGAGAAAAATGACTCCGTTTTGTCAAATGGATAGTGATTCTGACAACGATTTCGAAGCTGCAGTCCTTTTTCTTGTTTTAGTTCAAAGATCTCGAAGATCACGTTTACGTAAACAAAATGGAATTTTGGGTCCGGGATATTTTTAGTGTTCGAAAGCGGCATGGCCAGTTCCATAAGTTACTGCAAGAAATGCGCTTGGTGGACAAATGTCGCATTTGTTTGTTTTTCCCATCGCTGCTATCTCACTGATGCAGGATTGAATTCCTCTTGGAAATTTATAGGAAGGGTAGTGACGTAACATTGTTTGAAAACGGGGAGAAAAATTCCATTGTTCAGAGTGATGCAGTGCATAAAATGTGTTGGCGCCATGGAGATTAGCGTTTTTTCTTTGTTCAGTGAGAAAGTCAGCGAGATAAATCTCACTGAAAATGCTCAAGTGAGAAAAAATTCAGGCGTTCACGCCAATGAGATAACAATTTCACTTAATTTCACTGAAAAGTCAATGAGAATATCGTTATCTCACTAGTGTGGACCAGGCTTGCAGAGTTCGGTAAGACCGCGCCCATTTTGACTCGTTTCAGTGCTTTGTACCAGGCTAATTTTCCTTAAGAAATACAGTCTACCCCTACCTAGAGCTTTTTAATCCGTTTTTAGGAAGAAACAAAATGTAGACAATATTTTGAAAAAGTGGAGGGGGGGGGGGGTAATGACCACCATTCTCCACTGCCAAGTGGTGAATTTTCCATAGGCACACGGCACTGATTGGACAACTATAACTGTCATCTGCTTGCATTTTTCTATTTGGCCCATTTCGACCCACAACTTTGTGTATACATTTTTAATGATCTTTGTGACCCTGATTCTGACGTTTTATTCTCTAAAGGGAATCAAACGAAAAAATTTGTAAGATGTTTGCTTTTTCCAAAGCCATTATCAACTTTTGTACCGCTAAAAAAATCGAATAGAACCGTAATATGTATAATTAGTCTTTGCTTTCACCATGCTTAAAGCAAGAATTCAATCCATGTTGTCTTAATTGTATTAATATTTTCATAATATTTGTTTGATCATGTTATGGTGGCCAGCATTTTTGTCCACTCTGGTTGGCTGGCTTATGCCTACTAATTTGAACACAATTTACGAATTGGATCTTCAAAACTTTTTCTTTTTCAATACTTTTTATAGAAATGTCTTCAAGTGCGTGTAAGAAAGTTAAAAGTATGCAATGAATACATCAGTTTGATATTTTGTGATGAATAATTTAGAATGGCTTTTTGTGGTTGCTTTTTAATGTTTAATGCTCAAAATAATTGTTTATTCTTCAATCCTTT